AGATTTTCAGGGAGAATTCAAAAATGAAATAAAATATAGGGTGTTCCGAAGAAAAAAACATAGCTTTGATGTGCTGTGACCTTACGGAACACCCTGTGTATTTCAAAGAAATTTTGAAATGTGAAGCTCGGTTATCACTTCAATTTGAATGCAAGACTTTTTTTGTATCTCTCAAGACAACAGAGGTATCGAACTCTGGATTATTAGTTGGCCACCCTGTACATATATATTTTCCATATAGAAATAGATTGAAATTCTTTAGCTCGCATAACTTTGTTTGAAGAGCAGATTCAACGAACAAATAGTCAATGATGGTTTGTTCAGCTGTTACAATGAAATTTCAGCGAACGAAAGTTTGGCAATTGTCCGGAAAATACGAGAGAACTACTGATAAAAGTGAAATGTTGAGACGTTTCGCTCGAATTTCCTGGGAATAAACACTTGTCTGCCTAGTTGATTGCCTTCGAGAAATTGAAGACTTTAAGAAGCTTAGTCTGAATTAATTCAATGCAACTCATTCCATCAGAGAATTTCAATTTTTCAAATTAAAATACAGTGGACCTGTTTGTGATGCTCGAAAGATGAAGATGGAGACGAAGAAAATGATGATAGCACTGATAGCAGCAAGATATCTTCTCTTATTTGACTCATCAACATCACAGTTGATAGTTTATAAACACCTGTTATATAAACACTCGATCTCACTATTGATTTACCTAAGTCAACAAACTTTATCATCTGGCAGGTTTGTGTCGAAGAATCATCAAATCATCAAAAACCCTTGATGGTAGAAATGATGATTATGACATAAATTTGATCAGTCACTGAAAAGTTTCGTCAAAAAAAGTCATTATTCGACTTCATCATCAGGAATTATTCACGTGGTGCTCCCTGTAACAAACTGCAGAATGATACATAACATTATTTTCCTTGTATAAAATTATGCCTCTGTGCCGATTTTTATAACAATTGATGAATATACAGTGAAATTATTAGCAAAAATAAAAAAAAATCAAAGTGTTGAAAAGGAATATTCTCAGATAAATTATGAACATACAAAAATGGATATATATTTATATAAAGCAATACATTGAGAATTCGCATTCTCTATGTGATGAGAATATTTACTCTTTTTCAGTTAATTCAATAGAAAACAACTACTTTCCTGGCTATATGCCACGACGAACATTGAATTATATCTATTGAACACACACGATAAGAGTTTGAAAATAAAATATAAAAATTTCTGAAATTGAGAATTTGCATTCTCCTTCAGACAAAAATATGTATATACACACATCATTCTGAATATTCAACAGAAAACAACTACTTTCCTGGGTATTTGCCACGTCGAACATTGAATTATATCTGATGAACATTCAAAAGGGGAACATGAAAAATAAAGAATAAAATCCTCCGAAATTGAGAATTGACATTCTTCTTCAAATCGGATGAATAATATGATGAATATATTGGTAAGTCATATTTCTAGATCATTATTCATCATATTATTCATCCGATTTGAAGAAGAATGTCAATTCTCAATTTCGGAGGATTTTATTCTTTATTTTTCATGTTCCCCTTTTGAATGTTTATCAGATATAATTCAATGTTCGACGTGGCAAATAGCCAGGAAAGTAGTTGTTTTCTGTTGAATATTCAGAATGATGTGTGTATATACATATTTTTGTCTGAAGGAGAATGCAAATTCTCAATTTCAGAAATTATATTTTATTTTCAAACTCTTATCGTGTGTGTTCAATAGATATAATTCAATGTTCGTCGTGGCATATAGCCAGGAAAGTAGTTGTTTTCTATTGAATTAACTGAAAAAGAGTAAATATTCTCATCACATAGAGAATGCGAATTCTCAATGTATTGCTTTATATAAATATATATCCATTTTTGTATGTTCATAATTTATCTGAGAATATTCCTTTTCAACACTTTCATACCCAATCAGGGGGTTCAAACTTGAACGATGGAAACTTGTGATTTTTATAGACCTCTAATCGCAGATTCGTGATAGAGTCTCAATTCAGAATTCATTTCCACACCCTGTATGATGAATGTCAATTTATCATACACCCAAAAGCAAAAAAAAATCAAATTCAACGCCGTATTTTTTTCCACAGAAATATTTTAATGAGTCCTATCGCCGTTTATGATGGTTCAAACCATTCGCCCTTAGCCTATGTCCCAATAGTTATGACTCACCCCGTATAGGTCTGGTCAAGATAGTGACTGAATAAGAGAGGAACTCTCCGGTATTTCCCACTATTACCACCTATTACCCAATATTGCCAATAAATATTACGCGTTATTATACTTCATTTCATGGAATGATATCGTGCATAATATGAATTTTGTCGGGGATCCTTGTCCGGCATTCCAAGTCTTAGTGAATCAGATATTTCTTAGATATTCAACGGAGCCAGGTATAATCTCAATATATACAGGCTGATCCATATTTTTGTGCATTCATTATAATATATGATAGGAATTCGTGAACTGAAATGACTTGTCTTCATGAAAAAATCTCCGAAAGTGCATCATAGCTGAAATAGAGGGCATTCAGCTTCGATTAAAAAAAAATCATTATTATATGGGTGTCTGAGGAAATACAGATTTTTCTCAAATTTGGCACACTTCCTTCCTATCTGAACACACGTCCACATTACAAGTCAAAAATAGTTACGTGAATCGAAAGGCGCTGTGGCGGATTTAGTGGGGCTTGGGGGGGCTAAGCCCCTCCTCAAATTATGACCTAGCCCCGCCAAAGAAGGTTTGGGAAAAAGTAATCATTGAAGTCATTTCAATATTTTTCAATATACCAAAAGGTATCTATCTATGATAATTTTCATTATGAAAATGTGAATTTCGAACCCATCACATATACAGGGTGTAATTTAATTGATGACTGAAAATATAGGATATGGTTCCTCAGCTGATTTTAAGAATAAAATTTCATATGAACATATGTCATAAAACACTACACTGTAAAACAGTGTAGTGTATTATCGTGCCAAAGGTTCCAGTCTTCGATATATACCGGGTGACACAGGCTATCGGGCCACCCCTGTAACTTCTGCATTCGTCAACGGATTTTTCTGAAATTCGGTACAGTCATATAAGCAACTATTTCGGATTTGATCACATTACAATCCAATATGGCGGACTTCCGGTTTTTCTGGAAATGCCAGCAATTTTGTTTTTTCAAATGGAACACCCTGTATATTTTTACATATTCAAGTTCAACAGGTCAAAACAAGTGCAATCTTGATGTCAAATGTCATTTATTCCACAGCCTACCTAGTTAAAAAATTATTCTAACTGCAAGGAAATTCATAAACTAGTTTTTGATTGATATTTCATTTTGTTCCAATGTATGTTCTAGAGAAACGGGTATAGGTGGCCCATAGGGGTTCCATTTGAAAAAAAATAATTTTTGATCAAAAAAGTGATGTGGCTGAATTGATTCCTGGATAAGTGACACAAAAAATAATTTTTCAGAAAAAATTATGTTCTTCTGTTATGTGTGACTCATTGTGAATAGTCTTGACCACATCTCATATATCCACGAGGTAAAATGAAAAAACAATTTTAATTTAATTTTTTTCGAAAAAATGACATTTGAAATAAAGATTGCACTTGTTTCGACCTGTTGAACTTGAATATGTAAAAATATACAGGGTGTTTCATTTGAAAAAACAAAGTTGCTGGCATTTCCAGAAATACCGGAAGTCCGCCATATTGGATTTCAGAAAAATCCGTTGACGAATGCAGAAGTTACAGGGGTGGCCCGATACCCTGTGTCACCCGGTATGTCATAAACCTCATAGGGTTTTATTTCCCCTTTTTTCATTGGAGAAACTTCCACAATGTAAAAAACTGTCTCGTTTATGAATACTTGTCAAAATAAGAACGCAATCTAATCCATTTAATGTCATTATTTTGAAAACGAAATAGGGCATTAGCCTATTAGTTCAGAATATTGTCGTTATGTCACAAATGCATGGAAAAAGGTTTTTTTTTCGCGAAAACGGTTTGTCGGGCGGCAAAAATCAGAAGGTTACATTGTTGCAAAATAAATGAGGATTTCAAAGAAAAGTTTTATTCTCGGGAAAATCAAAGACGTACAACATATTTTTTTGAAAATCTTCAGGATGCATCCCAAACGAACGCCACTGGTAGAAATATCAAAAAATCCCCTGTATAAGAAAATGCCTATTGGTGCTTGGTAGGTGCATGTCACATTTCATGGAAATATCTAGAACAGTATTGAAGTTACATTAAGAAAACAAATTTTTTCTCAAGATTTTATGACCCTATAGCTCGAAGGTTAAGAGGTTTAGAGCATATGTTCATATTAACTCTTCTTTTCAAAATAAGCTAAGGAATCTTATCTTTCATTTTCAGCCATCAATCAAATAACACCCTGTATCAATCAATAATTATTATGTCGCGAAAAATAACGATCATTAGGAACTAATGGACGAATTTTCAAAGACTGGAAGCCGAAAATTAATGCACCCGTATTAATTTTGAACAGAGGATGTTTCAAGCCCAACAGTAGGTATTTATGTACCTATTGGATTTTTTGTAACTGCACCTACTGTCAATGTCCATAGGCTTGAGCCCCCTTAAAATTGGAAACCTGGCTTGGCCACTGATATACAGGGCGAAGTCTCTCTCAGAGATTGATAATGATCAATCGTAAATTCCTAGATATCTGTTGAGTTGAGTTGAATAGGTATTTTCATCTGGAAAATGAAAAAACTACTAGTAACAAGAAATATCTGCGTTCTTCCAACTAAAGCAACATCATATATGAACCTAATATTCTTCATGACATCAGCCAGGATTACTATGATGAATATTTTCTGCATGGGAGAATTCATATCACTTGATTTTCATACTAGAATTTCTGTCAAGCAACTTTACCTAACGCACTGCAGTTTCGGGATAAAAATTAATGACCATTCTCCGTACATTATTGGCGAGGACGAAGTGGAACTTATCAAGGCATATAAAACTAACACACATTCGTTTTATTTATTCACAAATTCTGTGATAGTGTGTTGTGAAGTCACGTCTCAGGCATATTGCCGTATTCGAAAAAGAGACAGGTATGTACGAATTTTTTCTTCTCTATTTTTTCGTGGAGAGAGTGGGGGAAATCTCAAAAAATAGCTATCACAAGAAATTTTCCTATTATATTGAGAATATAAGATTGTATGCACAAGTACTTGAAGAAATATAACTTCAAGGGATTCAAAAAATCAACTACATCTTTTCCAGATATACACATGTAGATTACCTCTCGTGCGATCCACCAGATTATGTAAATATTTTTTTCAAGCTTTACCCGCTATTTTTTCCTCTTATTGTATACTTGGGCTTTCAGGATTCGTCTGCATTTTGTTCATTCCTCTGCAAATTGCCACTTTAGAGATATAAGCATGTTCGATAAACATAATAGAGATTACCTCTCGTGCGATCCACCAGATTATGAAAATATTTTTTTCAAGCTTTAATCGATATTTTTTCCTCTTATTGTATACTTGGGCTCTCAGGATTCGTCTGGAGTTTGTTTATTCCTCTGCAAATTTCCACTTTTGAGTTCATCTATTTCATGCAGTTTATAATATTAGGTATAAGGGTTCAACATTTCTACTCCATACATATCAAGTTATTATAGAACTTGTTAGTAAACTTGCATTCATTATCATTGCCTAGAACAAGGTTACCCATATTATTATTTATACAGTATCATTCTATTCGTCAATGTTTATCTACATTATTATATGAAATATTCACTCATAAGCATAACACAAAACGTTCAAACGTTTCTGTTTTCTTCACCCTGTATTTTAGTCAGTGTAGATTTGCATAATATGCAAGTATTTGTTGGTATAGTTAATTAGGTACATTTTTCGAATTGTCAACATCGCTATTTTTTGTTAGCTCATGCAGCTAATCATTAAAATTAACTAAATATTTTAACAGACCCTGGGTACGTAAGTGCGAATGAAAAATGTTCTCATCTGACAGCTCTCAACAACTTCCAATGAAAACATTAACTATTTATATTAAGTACCAAAAAAGTGAAGATTTCATGAATAAAATACCTCTAAATTGGGACACTTTGCACTTCTTAGTATAGTGGAGAAAATGATGAATGAACCAAGATAGTCACACAAGACTTTTCTCGCATTGCTTGCTTATGTAATACAGCTTAGTCTAAAAAAATTTCCTCTGTACCTTATTTCAAATGAATACATTTTTCCACATCAATATACTTCGGAATTCATTTCTCATTCAATTTGATATTTAGATTTCCTCATAGTTTGAAGAACTTCTTGTAATGGATCATGGATCTGGATATGTATCACACAAAAAGAATTGAACTATTTTTTTATGTTCTGAAAGTATCATGAATATCCGATTTCACATCACTCTCCTTGAAATCAAGTTGGTACAGCACTACATGTTTTTCTTTATAGATAGAATAGAATTACTTCGCCTACAATCCCATATAGAGTATCCACTTGACCTTTCCTGTCAAGAAATCCAAATGCGAAATCAAATTCAATGACTAGACTAGACGGACTTCGTTTATGAGAATGAATCGTATAATAATTGGTCCAAAATAATGATACATAGTTTCTTGCGAAAAACATTTTGCAGAAACAATGGTGTTCCCGTGAACAAATATAAAAACTATGGTTAGCCTTGGGTTTTCCTACCTCCCAAACATCAGCAGATATCGACAAGTACAATCAAAAAATGCCATAGCTCTCCACTGGCGTTTGAAGAAAAAATATGTTATAAGGTTCTTAACTGAAATATCTGGGTTTTCTCGATGAGTAATTATTTCAGTAATGAAACAAGATAGGCTAGGTCCTATAGGTCATCTTGCAAGGAGAAAACTGCTATGATTGACATAACATTTTTGATCAACATCATATACCCTCTGAAAGCATATTTTTCCAACCAATAATATAAACTTTCGAACTAGAGGCATATTTCATTCCAACAAAAATTTTTTAATAACCCCATATACATATATACCTTCCATTCGATTCACACAGAAGATATGTATTAACTTTCAAATTCCTAATTTTTGTATTTTCAAAAATATGTCAGAGCCGATGGATTTTATCGGAAATAAACTGCTATTTTCACTATTTTGAGTTAACGTAGGTTAACTCTACGATGGACGTGTTGGAGACCACTTATATGATGAATATAAATATATATTATTATATACCATATGTTTAGTCCAGGATTGAAAAGAACAAGGAACTCACTTATAGGAATATTAAGTTTGGCAGTACGGTGACGGAGGAGGAACAGAAAAGTTGAATCGACTGGATATCAACCGGAGGGCATAGTTGAAAGACTGGCATCGGATTGCTTGTTCTCTTCTCCTATATAGTGGTATCTTGTTTTATTAGTTGTCATGCGATTCAACTGGTAAATTATAATCCGATTGATACAACTGTCAAGTCTGCTTGCGTCTAAATATTTACCTTAATTCTAAATTAATCCATTCTTCAATTATTTATGGACTGCAAACCGCAATGTATAATAAAGTACCTAAGTATAGTGTAAGGATATTACGAAGGAAACGATAAATTATCGTTGAAACCCATCATTATCTATTATTTACGCCTACTTGCTTGATATTCATTTAACGCCTTGCTATTGAGGCTGCATACTAGTGCATACCACAAGCATATCCTTAAATATCATCAAGTACATGCGACTTGAATGACAATAATAAAGCTTGAGAGAATTTAATTGAGGCGCTTAATTTTTTTTCGCACCAAAGATGATTACATAGAAGGATACATGCTTAATGTATGCAATTGATAAGTGATATAATGTTCGTGTAATGTATTGACTATTTATAAATAGAGTCCTATTTGAAATGAAGATGGGTATATTATGTGAGTTTCGAGAAAACGAAGGCCGTGGCAACAATGGCTATGCCATTATTTAATCGAACTAGAAAATCTGGTTTAAAATTGATTTAGTCAACATTCTCTGAACGTTACACCCAGACCCAGATCTATCTTTTTTTTACAATTTGTGATTACCTGCGCCCATAATATGGGCACATGGTACAAAATGAGACGACCAAAATAAGCCAACAGAAGTTGGGTGAACGATATAACCGCCTCATATAGATTCACGTATTGAACTTTAGCTATCATTAACAATTTTCCAGTAACACTTTTTTTCTTGAACTAATACAGTAACCATTTTTTTCAATTCGTTTCATGTGAAAAAATGATACTTTTATACCGATTTTCAGCACTACCTGCGTGGTAAGACTTTGGATTCAAAATATTTTATACCAGATAAAACGTCATTTCGACTGATTTAAACTACGTGAAAGTATGTTCTACGTGATATAACGATAGGTGAAGCAAAAATAAAAAAATCATCTTCATCTAATCATAATATTTATTATACAGGGTGATTCAAAATACGATGTGAATATTTTAAGAACGTATTGTTGGTATCAAAATATGTCCCTGAAATATTAACATCGAATCTGACCAATCACAAACCAGATACAACGTGTGCTTATCGCGAAAACATAAGCTGTCTTTCAATTCTGATTGGTTCATCAGCGTTGGTATTTTCAACCTTGTAACCATGGATAGTGAAGCAAAGTCTGGATGTAATCATGGATAGCGAAGCAAAATCTGTCAGTTTGGCATGAAATAATTATGGCTGTACTTGTCAGAATAAATCACTCATTTATAATAACTGCTTTTCATGCTTCGTGAACATGAAATAGTCTAGCAAAATACCACTCTATTCTGAATATTCTTTCATAATTCTATCTTTTATTGTGAACTCAATTGTGTGCAATACCACTCGTCCTGAATATCGTGATATTACTCATGAAAATCCAAAAGAAATTGGAGAACATGTACATGTGCTCGGTTAAGCCACAAATATAGTATTCAAGATACTTTCCACTCGCTCTTTTTATTGTTTTTATCTTCAGATCATTTTATATCTATTAGGTACAACGAACTGATAACATGAAACTAGTGGGTCTTTTTCTCTAGAAGAAATCTGATTTTCAATTTAAACTATTTGAAGGCATTTAACCTTCCTTAAACTGTGACCATACATGAATGTTGTCTGAGTTTCTTGACCCCCCCTTGGTATATATACTGAAATGGAGTTATTTCTCTGGAAAAAATCTTATCACCGGTCTACAGGCATTTGACCTTGAAGGAAAAAAAAAAGATTGACCCACCCCCTGACATTCACTGAAATCACGCCCCAAGTTAGGAGGGTGTTGCGAGTTGAAATCGCACACACTGTATATTGAACTGAACCTATCGAATAATACATATACAGTGTGACTAATGGAAACACCCCTATATCTCACGTAATCGTTGGGTAAGGATCCTGAAATTTGCTGGAGCGAGAGATATTCCAAAAATGCACTCTATGACCAAGTGAGATCATCTTCAGTGATATACACTGCTCGCCAAATAGCCATGGAACCACTCCAATTTCCGTAAAATGATTAGGAGTCAAAATAGGTCGAAAATCACTTCAGATTCGGATTCAGGACGCCCAATTCACTAACACTTCATATTTTTTCTGGGAAATGTTCAGTTCTTAAAAATTAAATTCTGTCGCACTTTCTGCGGAGGCTGATGTTGGTGAGCAGTGTATATCACTGAAGATGGCCTCCCTTGGTCATAGAGCGCATTTTTGGTATATCTCTCGCTCCAGCAAATTTTAGGATCCTTACCCAACGAGTACGTAAGATACGTTTCCATTAGAAGTGGGTCACACTGTACATATAATGTTGATGAGGTGGTTGTTTTTGTTCCTCTATGACATTCATCTGCTTTTCGCGATCTACAGAAATGAATAACGTGTATACGAAGCAATAACTATCGCCTTGTACATTAATGATCAGGTAGATAAATTACAAGTCGCCTGTCCCACGAACATAAGCCTTGGTATAATCTATTGACGAATATTAAGAATGATGCCTCCAGAGTATTTGCAGCATGAGTGTATATTTCCTAAGAACCAAGCAACACGCACCAGCACGATAAGAGCACGATTAGTATATTTCCAT